TGTTTTAATGTCTTTATAGTAATAGTGTTTTATAAGCTTTCAGCCACTTTTCTTCATGCAGAAACAAATGCTAGCTGGTTTGCTTGTGATCTGTGAGAGAGGGTGAACTCATCGTTCTCAGAACACACTGTTAGGTGGGAGTGTATCCCCATTTGCCAATTCTGAAACTAAGGCTCAGAGACAGCGTACGAAAATTCCAGATGGAAGACGGGGCCCTGGGCGCAGGCAATAAGTGGGGCCTTGACTTGAGAGGGTTTGAAATCACTAAAGGTCTGCTTTTTATCCTCTCTGTACATTGGCAGTTCTAAACAATGCCTGTGACAAGCAGCTCTGTGAGACCCCAGCCATGAGATACCCCCCCAGGGCTGGCTCTGCTCACCAGTCTGAGCCTCGCCAAACCACTGTCCCACGTTCTGTCCCCACTCCTTGTGGCATTTCCTGCACTGTCACTCTGTGGGTCCGTCATCTCCCTGGCTAAGATCATAAGCTGCCATTTCTCCCCATGGAGCCTGGAACAGAAGTTCACCCAGCAGATATTTACTGAGAAACACTTAAGTTGCTAACCAACCAGTTCACAGCCCTCTGTCCAGACAATTTAAGTGAGATGACTTGCCTTCATCCAAGAGGACCAGTGGTGATGTTTGTCAATTTTATAAGGACCTGGAGGGTGAAAAGGTTCAAGAATGACTGATGGTGACTCTAGCAGAGGGGATTGGGTGGGAAACTCCACTTGCTGCCCTCCTGCCCACAGGGTCAAACCCAATTTCTTAGCCCAGAGCGAGGCCCCCTCCCCTTACAGGATGGGTCCCAGCCTCTGCCCAGCCGTATTACAGATCCTCTCCTATTACATGCCTATTCTATTACCTGCACTTCATCCAGCCCCCTCTTTAGTTCCTTCCCCAAGAGCTATGCTTTCTATGGCTTCTGCCCTCCTGCCACGCCCTCTGGCCAGAATGCCCTCCCCACACCCCACAGGTTCACATTTAATTTAAAACAGCTACCTTATATCGAGAACCCATTACAGCCAACACTTGCTTAGGTACATTACATATCCTACCTTATTTATTCCTCATAACAACCCTCTGAGTTAGTGTCATCCCATTCTACAGGTAAAGAAACAGACCCAGAATGGTTAAGTCACAAGTCTAGTTAGAAGTGGAAGTGGGATTTAACCTCAGGCCTCTCTTAAAGGCAAGCTCTCTCTACCACCCCCTTTAGAGAGGAAGCTTTTCAGACCAGAAGCTCCTCTTGCAGTAAAGTAACTCCACTGTGCTCCCCAGTCCCCCTAGAAGGCAAAGACTGTGCCCCATTGACTTGGTAGTCCAGGCCTAGCACATGGAGGAGTTTAGTAAACATTTGTGCTCAGACTGTGGTATCCTGCCATTTGCCTTAAAAAACAGATGATAAAACAGGCTATAAATAGATCCCTAGCATGAATATACGAATTAATTGACTGTTACTGAGAGGTTGTGGTCTTAAGCCCAAACAAAAGACATAAAACTGGCCCTGGCCAGTGTAGCTCAGTTGGTTATGATTGTCCCATGCACCAGAGTCACTGGTTTGCAACAGTTTGACTCCTGGTCAGGGCACATGCTGGTTTGTTTTTTGTTTTGTTCTCTCTCTCTCTCCCTCTCTCCCTCTCTCTCTCTCCCCTCTCTCTCCCTCCCTCCCTCCGTCTCTCTCTCCCTCTCTCTCTCTCTCTCAAAAAAGGACACAGAACTCAATAGCGATTCTGCTTAAAGTAGAACAGAAACCTTGAAAGTCAAATTTCTCATTAACCAGCAAGCAGTTCTCTAATATTTATCTAAATTCTTCCTCCCCTCTCTCCCTTTTTTCCTTCTCCCTCAAATTCATTCATTCACTCCTTGGTGGTTTTGGCTTTATTTTTATAGGACATATTAAAATAGTAGGTTCACTCTTCCTTGGTGTGAGGGCATTTTTGAGGCATTCCTATCCCATTGTCAGGAATATTCTCATGTTTTTTCTGCTGGTCACCTTTCTAGCCCTCCATATTTCTAATTCAGCATTTCTCAGTTTCTTACATCTAAAAGGAGCAGTGTGGCCCTAGCCGGTTTTGCTCTATGGATAGAGTGTAGGTCTCTGGACTGAAGGGTCCCAGGTTCGATTCTGGTCGAGGGCACATGCCTGGGTTGCGGGCTCGATCCCCAGTAGAGGGTGTGCAGGAGGCAGCCAATCAGTGATTCTCTCTCATCATTGATGTTTCTAACTCTCTCTCCCTCTCCCTTCCTCTCTGAAATCAGTAAATATATGTATATATTAAAAAATAAATAAATAAAAGGAGCAGTGTGCTGTGACCCTAACCTACAGCTTTCAGCAGCTCTGAATCTGCTCCTTTTCCGAAGTGCTTCTGTCCAGTCTCCTTCCCTGTGCCCTTCTCCTCCTCCCTCAGTCCGCTCACCTCTGTCCTTGTCACCCTCACAGACTGGAACTCAGGGGAGCCTGGAGCTGGAGTTCCATGGAGACAATGGAGCCACCAGCACCCTGGGTTCCTAATCTTCCTACTCCTCATGTTGGACACACATCCCTTTTCCCCCTTGAAATTCTTTCTTTCTTTCTCTCTCTTTTAAATCAAGGTAAAATTTACATAGCATAAAATTAACCACTTTGAAGTATGCAATTTTGTGGTGTTTATACATTTGCACTGTTATGCAACTATCACCTCTGTCTAGTTCCAAGCCATTTCATCACCCCAAAAGGAAACCCTGTATTCATCAAGCACTCGGCCCTCATTTTCCCTCTCCCTCGAAACCACCCATTTGCTTTTTATCTCTGTGGGTTTTCCCTCTGCTCCATGGTTCATATAAATGGGTTCATGCAGTGCGTGGCCGTTTGTGTCTGGGGAACTACCCTTTAGTTTTCCTGAGAGCCTGAGCTCCCCTTCCTAGAAGAGTCATTAGGAACCACGGCCTTAGTTTATTTTTGACCATGATGTAGGCCACAGTTTTAACATTCAGAGTTTTCTGGGTTTGGTTTTGTTTTTCCTATTTTGTGGTTTCTTTCATTTTGCTTTTTGCCCTCTCTTGCTTAGGCCTACCAGGGCTGGGGAACCTTTTTTCTGCCAAGGGCCATTTGGATTTATATAACATCATTCCTGGGCCCTACAAAATTACCAACTGAAAAATTAACGCTCTATTTTGGTCAGGCATTTAATTAACTCACCTCTAATGCCTTAGCAGGGCCAGACCACATGATTTCTTGGGCCTTATACGGCCTGTGGGCCGGACATTCCCTATGCCTGTCTCTGTAGGCTCAGGTTGTTATTTCTGGATTTGAGCTTCTACTTCCCCCAAATACCCTCTCCCATTGACCTTGTGGTGTGGGTGGAGAAACCCACTGTAGTTACCTCCTTCCCCTCCATCCCGAGGTACCCAATGACGTTTACCACAAAAGGTCATCACAGGCCTTTGCACATTCTTTATTTGCTTTCGAAAGAACCTGCCTTTTTAAATAGCAGGAATAATCTGCATTGGCACTTGAAAACAAACTTATTTAGCTTTAGGAAATTTATTTAGACAATGCATAATCTGTATTTCAAGTTTGTGATGAATTAGAAGGCAGATATTAAGTTATTATAGAAGAGTGTTTTCCAGTATTTCCTTTTATTGCTAAACACCATTACGAACTGTAAGAAAAACACTTTTTCTTGTGACACAATAGCTGTGTGTGTGTGTTCAAAAATATGCACGGACAATCATAGTATATATACAGATATACTCAATTTTACCACATACTGTGCAACCTGATATTTCCTACACTATTCTGTTTTTTTAAAATGCTTGTTACAACTCTGTAAATTGATTTCATAACCACTGTGAAGTTTTTACCATCTTTTTTTTCTTACTTTTATTAATTCTCACCCAAGGATATTTTTCCATTGATTTTTAGAGAGAGTGGAAGGGAGGGAGAGAGACAGAGAAAGAGAAACGTCAATATGAGACACATCAATTGGTTGCCTTCCACTCGCTCCCCAACCAGGGCCTGGGATTGAGCCTGTAACTGAGGTACGAGCCCTGGACCAGGATCCAAGACCCTTCAGTCTGAGGGCTGAAGCTCTGTCCACTGAGCCAAACTGGCTAGGACTCTACCTTTTTTTAAAACCTAGCACAGCACGTACAATGAATTGTCCCCGGTTAGCAGAATGGAAGGCCTTATTTGCTTTGAGAGAAAAATTCTCTCTTCTAGGAAGTGTTGTTAATGATTGTTTCTCTCATATCTGGAACCTAATTTGCTTGAGTTCAGGTTTACGAAGTGCAGTAGCACTTGGGTGGGGTTGGAGTGGAGACAGCTTGATATCGGGAGGAAAGGGTGATTATGACCAACTTTTACGGTAAATTTGTTCTCATTTTAACTGGAGGTTTTGGAGAGCAGAGAGCAACACTCCCAGGACACTTAGCTCAGGACCTGTAACTCTGGGTGAGCACTGGCCTAGGGAAGTGTGGACCACGGGGGAATCCGAGTAGTTCCCAGAGACGCCAGATAGTGTCTTGGCCCCGTGAGCCAGGCCCTGGCCTCCCGCAGGCTCCAGGCAAGCCCCCCCGTCCCCCACTTCCCTTCGGTCATCTTTGCACCCCCCCTCAGGTCTTGGGTACAATGGCATTTACATTTTCCCTTTGTCTTTACTTTGCACTTCCCTGTAACGCCTCTCTCCCAGCTTCCTCCTAGGTTTGCTTTCCTGTGCTTCCAGCTGAGTGGGATGTGGGATGGGAAGGATGCAACCTCTGATACTGGCCACCTCTTACTCTGCACGGCAGTGTTTACCCACTTCGTGCTTTAATTCTGCCTTTTCCACAGCCAGTATTGTTGTTCCCTTACTGCTCTTGCTTCTACTCCATCTTGAGCAATATTTTAAAGGCTTGTTTTTCTGTTTTGTTCTCTTTTTTTTTAATATATTTTATTGATTTTCTACAGAGAGGGAGGAAGAGGGAGAGGGATAGAGAGCTAGGAACATCGATGAGAGAGAAACATCGATCAGCTGCCTCCCTACCGGGGATGTGCCCGCAACCAAGGTACATGCCCTTGCCTGGAATCAAACCTGGGACCCTTCAGTCCGCAGGCCGACGCTCTATCCACTGAGCCAAACCGGTCAGGGCCTGTTTTGTTTTTGAATGTCTCTCTACGACATCTGTCCTGTCTGTGAGGGCTGGGCTGTTGGTATGTGGTCAGTGGGCAGCAAGGTCAACAGGACTCCTGAGTTCTCCAGCAAAAGCTGTGGGCATCATTGACTTAAGTTTCACATTCACATGGTCATTTACTCCTGCTATTGTTAAAAGGATGGGCAGGTTCATTTGTTGGGTGAAATTCTTAAAAAAAAAAAAAAAAAAAGTACTCTTTTAGGAGGAGGTCCTGAATTCACAAGTTGTTTTTGTTTGTTTGTTTGTTTGTTTTAAAGAGACTGGGTAGAGCGGTGTGGTTCAAAGGGATGAGCTTTGGAGCCAGGCAGATCTACATTAAAATCCTGGCTCCTCCACTTACTAGCTGTGACTTTGGATGAGTTACTCAGCCTTTCTGTGCCTCCATGTTGTCCATAAAGTGGGAGTTATAATGCTTATGTAAAAATGTTAGTGTTACATGAGGTGAGGGCAGTGAAGTGCCAGACACACAGTAGGTGCTCAACAAATGTAAAGTGTTTTTCAGACACCAGTTCCTCCATATCCCAAGAAAAGCCTTAGGAGTTGCTATCAAATTCTCTAAATGTAAGACTGTGTTCACACAAATGTTCAAGAACCTCTCCCCCTTCAAAACAAAAGAAAAATGAAAGCAAAAACCCTTGCCTTAGATTCCAGTGGCAAGTAAATATGCAAAAAAAAAAAAAAAAATGGGGGGTTTTACATGTACTTTTTATTATGAAATTTTCAAAGATACCCAAAAATAAACAGTATAATTACCATTCATATCTTGTTTGTCTATACTCTTGCGTTTCTTCTCCACAAACTGGACAAATTTTAAAGCAAATGCCAGACATATCCTTTCATCTACAAATATATCAGTATATATTCTTAGAAATATTACCTCGTTTTTTTCACATCACCACAGTACTATTATAACACCTACAAAACTGAACAATTTCTTAACCTCACGCACTGTTCAGTCAATGTTCAGATTTCACTGATTGTCTCGTAAGTACCTTCTTTACAGTTGGTTTATTTGAATCAGGATCCAACAAGGCCTTCTACTGCACTTGGTTAAGTCTCTGAAATCTCTTTTAATCTGTAACTGTTTCCCCTCTCCTCCTTTTTTATTTCTATTTATTTGTCAAATAACTGGGTCATGTCTTTTAGACTCTCCTACATGCTGGATCTAGCCAGCTGCATCTTGTAGGATTGCTTCATAGGCTCATATGTCCCCTGCACTTTTTTTTAATATGGTCGGTACATTTAGAAACTAATCAAATTCAGGTCTGGTTTATGCAAGCGTACCTTATCAGTGGTGCCCTGTACTTCCTATTACTTCACCTCCAGGTTATCTATCTCTATCTCTCTCTCTCTCTCTCTCTCTCTCTCTCTCTCTCTCTTTAGATCTTAACATTGCCCAGTGGATTCAGTATTGTCAGATTGATCCAGCCAAAAGTTCATCATCCTTTCACCTAACAGTTTTAGCAAGCACTGGTGATCACTGAGCTAAATTCATTATTACACTAAGAGCTTCAACATGAGGCTTTTCTAAATCTGTTATGGCATCCGTGTTTATGAACTAGAATTATTTTATAAAGAAGAACTTTTACTGACTATTTGGTTTCCCTGAAAAGGCAGGATAAATGCTTGAAACTGGTCTTATTTACCAGTTTTCAGGCCTGGTCCTCTAATTTCCCCCAAAGGTGACCAAAAGGGCTTTATTTTCCTTTGAGTATCATTATGCACGCGTGGATTGCAATGCATTTGTCATGTTTCAATTGTTTCGATGCATTTCCGCCATTATTCTTTTGATGGTTGATTGTCGCACCTTGGCCAGTGAGAGTCCGGTCAGATTGACTCCAGAGTCTTTTGGACCTGATCCTAATATTTGTTGAGGATGCTCAAGGCTCATCTTGTGTATTTCCTACTCCAGATCTGGGACCCACCATTTCTTTAAGGAGCACTGGTCCTTCTTATTGGAAAATGGTGTGTGTTTGCAGTTGAGGCTGTGTGGCATTCCAATAACGCCACTGTTTTCCCTCAATGGAGCTATAGTGGGAACCTAGCCAGACTGAGGACTCTGTCATGTGTGCAGGGACCTTCCCCCAATGGAGCTGCTTTTCTTTTTTTCCATCATCCTGTTTTATTTCTCTTTAGCTTGTAGTGTTGATTCACTTGTGGAAAAGCGCAGAGTACAACTGTCCTGCTCTGTGTGGGGCAAGGTCCTGGAACTTCTGCTTTGTTAATTCCCAAAAAGCCCTCCTGGCAGACTCTGCGTCAGAACCGAGGCTGGTGTGTCCCTGGAGGCTGCCTGGCGTGAAGCCATGGGACCCTGAGAGAGCATCTTGTTACCACTCTGCCGCGAGGCCAGATCTCGTCCAAGTCAGAAAAAGCATTGCCTGGTTTGCTAATGTTTTCAAATCTCTGGAGCTAGAGAGACCATCTTTAAGCTATTTAGCAATATGCTACATTCAATAACAAAATGACTCTAGAGTCATTTAGAGAAAGCTAAATGAAGTGCAGTTTAGCAAGAAGTGTGAGAACTGATTTTAGGACGTGGCTGCTTTTTGTGTGAAACCATAACTTAACAAGAAAAGCACCAACGAGTTACAAGCGCTTCTGGTGTGCTGACAGGCACGTTCTTCCTGACCTGTTAGCTGTGCTGGGACCGGAGGAAAAGCCAGATACCCAAACCTCAATTTCAGCCCAAGGGCCGTGAGCTGGCTGGATATATCTAGTCACCTGGGATTGGTTTTGTTCTTCTTTTGTTTTTTTAAAGAAAAAGTTTATTTGGAAAGTCACAGAGGTAGG